GGTCAACCCTACCTCTGCACCATTGCTGGCAGACGTCCGTCCAGCCCGTTCTTCATCTTAATTCTTCTCTTCCTTTATTGTCGTCCCTAGACTGCCTCCAGTCACCACTGGAACGGATAGCGTAGGGTAATAATTTTGTCACAATGCTCACAGAGACCACGGAAACAATGCATTCCAGCAGGAGTGGATTACTGCCTTTGAGGTGAATTCAAGGGAAGAAAAGGGCTACAGCAGCTTTGAGCAAAACGACCAATAGAAATGGCAAGTAGAGAAATAAGTAAGGTGTGGGGTTTTTTTCCACGGAAGCGGTGGATGATGTTTTCTGCAGCACAAAGTTCCACAGAACTTGACTGAATATCAAGCTGCAAGCAGATGTTTTGGGAATGCTGCATCTATGTGGAAGTGGCAAGCTGTAGAGTCTTTAGGAAAATCTCCATCCAAGATAAAAGAAATATCGCGTTCGCAATGTTGGGTAGAGCGACAACAAATGCTGCCTTGAAGGTCTATTGCACAGTTGATGTTCAGCTTCGCATCCTAGACAGCTCCTGTGTGAAAAAAAAATCTCTTGGAAAGCTCTTTGAGCAGTCTGTGTTTGGATCAGTTGAGAAAAACGCACTTACTGAAGCTTTCTGAAAGCTGCATCAATGACCTTGTTGAACTTTCTTGGGCACAAGTCTTGTTGCAAAAAGAAAAACGGATGGCAAAGAGTGCTGAGCATGGAATTGCCGTTTTCTTTCCTCCTTTTTTTTTTCTTTGCAGGTACCTCGCTGTGCTCAGGGGAGGGAAGCCACATACCTATGTTGCTTCTTGTTCATTGCATTTATTTGGGTACCATGGACATCAAAGCCACAGATTGGTTTGTGGTTGAAAGCCGTTAGAAATGGACTTCTTTTTGCAAGAAGCCCTTACTGCTAGTGATGCTGCTGCTGTAAATAGGAATAAAAGTGGGCAGGAAGCTTCCCAACCCTGTCTCCAAGCGCAGTGCACGTGATTTGCTGCACTGAAATGGTGATATATGGAGGCAAACGTTAGCTTTAATTAACTTATTACTGCAGTAGAACAGGGCTTTATTGCCTCTTGTGTCTCTAAGGGCATGGCTTCACCGGTGCCTCCAGACAAAGGGGAGAGTGCCAGGAATACCACTTCCAGTGATCAGAACCAGGTGGAACATCTGCTTTTCATGCTAGTCACCGTGAGGGCCAGAGAGGAATTTTTGAAGTTGTTATTATTGTTTTTATTGGGAGGAAAAAAAAAAGGCAGACTGTATGTGGATCTGCAGAGTGTGAGTCAGCAGTTGAGGATGTGGTCACTGAGAGTGAACTGGTAGAAACCCATGTAGATGTTCCAGGATTAAAGGTGGTTTTGTTCCAAGAATAATGTCAGATATTACTGTTTACCGAGAAAAAGAGGGAGGGGAAAAAAAAAAAGAAAAGCATGAAACTGGAGTCCACGAGGTAGCAAATTGTTTTGATCTTAGAAGCAGGAATAAAAGTCAAAACTTAGGCTTGTACCAAAACACTTGATTCTGTGCTCTTCTGCCGACCTGCCAGTTTTCCCAGTGCTCCAAGCACTGTCATTCAGGCAAGCCAGACATCTCCATCTCCCATCAGCAAACAGTTTGATGCAAATCTCATGTTTTAAAGACGATGACTGGCACCAGCCCAACGTGGTGAGTGCGATACCGTGATGCGAACGATGCTCTTCGTCTTGGAATGTCTGGAGGCAGCTCTTCCTAACGCAGGCCGTGGCTGTTTTGAGGAATCTGTCGCTGTGTGTGAAGGATGTAAAAAGTGAGAGGCTGTTTTTTTTTGCTTTTGGTGGCAGTATCTTACGAGGAGGCAGACACAGAGTCGGCACGGGCGCAGCACAACGTCTCGGGGACGAGCGCTCCGCAACTGCCGGGCAACTGCCGCACGTTCGGTAAATAGAAAGAGTTGATCTTGCCAGCAGTTAATGGTTTTAACGGCACAGCTGTGGCTGCTGTAACGTTGCAAACGTGTTATTTACATTATTCTACGTGTGTTTTGTGTGGTTAAGATGACCCGTGGATTACTGCGAAGCAGTGGCAGAATAGAAGGCATTTATTCCCCCTGCGCAGTGGAAGTGAGCAGTGCCAAAATCGTGGTCTTTGTCTTCTGTTCCTAAAAGCAGCAGTAGGTGCTCTTCTTCTCAGGCTTCATTTGAGTCAATGTTGCCTCCTTCCCCTGAGAAACAAAAGTGTCCTGCTCTTCCCCTTCCCCAGTGTAATCCTTCAGGGCTCCGTAGCGCAACTTTGCGGAGGCAGAAGAGAGGAAGGTGAGGAGGGGTGAAGTTGCGTGGTCCGAGAGGTGAGGACGGGCGAGAGAGGACACGTCTCCATTGCTCAGGGCTCCTGTTGGCTGTAATTGCCCCGGGCAGGGGATTACAGCTCACAGCTGCCGTTCCGCACTGGCATCAGCTCCTGAACCTCCTCTGCCTTCAGCTTGGCAAGTGCGGATGAGCCATAGTTGGCAATTGTTTTACTCTGGCACACGCTAGGTTGAAACAAAAGCGTTTCTGGAGCTGGCTTAGGAGCTCAGCCCCATCATTTTAGATATTATTTATCTAAATATCATCATTTAGATTAGATATAAGGAAGAAATTCTTCACTCAGAGGGTGGTGAGGCACTGGAACAGGTTGCCCAGAGAAGTTGTGGCTGCCCCATCCCTGGAAGTGTTCAAGGCCAGGTTGGATGAGGCTTTGGGCAACCTGGTGTAGTGGAGGGTGTCCCTGTCCATGGCAGGGGGGTTGGAACTGGATGATCTTTGAGGTCTCTTCCAACTCAAACCATTCTATGATTCTATGATTTTGAAGGATAATGCAACTGGCAGCAACGTCATGGGCTTCAAATCTAGCAGTGCCTCACCACATGCATTTCCTTGCGGAGTTTTCAGGAGGCAGGCAATGTTTGCCAGAAAATCTTGTGGCCTAGGTGGATTTCATGATTTAACTAGGGCAATGGAAGATTTTAGTGGTGGAAGCGAGATTTGCATTTTATCTCCCACAAAACAGGTTAATCCCCCAGCTATTGCTTATCAGCTCCTCCGTTCCTGCATGAAATGCATTTCCTACACTTAGCTAGCAACAGCAGAGAGGTATTATTTGGTAGGTGAGTCTGGAATTGAGACTGCACGAGTGCCCTGGGTCCTCACCTTCGTTCATGTTTCCTCTCATTTCCCAGCGCGGTGCTTTGCCTTTTCCTCCGTTGCGCTTCATGTACTTGTAACGTTCTGCAGCTTATTGTCAGAGTTTGCAAACTCACGGACGGGAAGGCTGTGCAGTTTCACAAAGAAATGAATCAGAGTTGTAACTGGAGGAAGAATGGAGTAATTTATGCCTGCACGCACGGTCTCTAACGTGTGATTTATCCCTGGAGGAGGCCAGCAATCGTATTGGCCGGGTTCGGCGCTAACCAGAAATGGGAAGGTTTGCAGGGCTCCCTCTGTAACACCAGGTTTCATAACTTCTTGAATCCTTTCAACTCCAAGAATGTTGTGTTCTGATCTTGATCTGAGGACAAGGAGTTCACTCTTTTCTGCCTATGGCTTTTATTGACTTAAATAAGTAACCAGAGAGACTCTCTTGGCCCAGCTCTACCCTCGAGTGACTTTTTGGACAGTTTTTTTGCCTCTCTGTCTGTGATTCATGACTTGACCTCACCTTCACTCACCTCTATGGCCAGAAACCGTTGGCTGTTCCTTTTCACTTTATCCTTCCCCACATTTCTGTTTTTAGGAGGTCAGTTTACACCTCATCTTTGTGCTTTGCACGCCTGGTGCTGTGGAGCTGCATACACGTGTGTGTGGTAGACCAGGAGGTCAGTGTTGCTTCCCCTGCAGCGTGCCACTAGCAGTATGGCTTTGCTCTGGTCAGGGTGTGTGAGGACACATCAAACTCTCTAAACACTGTCTTCCTCAGAGCGTGATGCAGCCCTGCATGGTCACCATCAGGCTGCAGCCCCAAAACCGTACTGCCTGGGGTGCACAGCACAGCATGGCAGCTTGTCCCCATGACCTCAATGGCCAGGAATATTTGGTTGCTGGCCCACAGCCTCGCTAGATGATCTTTAAGGCTGCATCCAACCCGAACCGTTTGATGACGCCCAGCGTCACGTGTTGGGGTGAAGGCACTCCCAGTGCACTGCCTGTGTGAGTGGGGCATAATCTAAGTGAGAGTAACTGGGGCAGGAGGTAGAGTTGAAGTTCGTGTTCGTGGCAGGAGGCTTGATGCATATGTGTGGGAGGCTGCAGATGGCTTCCTGAGTTGAGCTCCTATGATGTCATGTTTAGTTTCAAGCATCCTTCCCCAGCATCTTTTGGACTAGTATGTTTGCAGGGTACCTAGTGGTACTATTTGGGGGTTATCGGGTACTGCACCTGCACACCTGTTCAGCCAGGAATTTGGGAAAGACCTCAAATCACATTGAAGTCCCACGGGATAGCAGCAAGTTGAAAAAAAAAATCAACCAGGATAAGAGGAGAAATAAGGCCATCCAAGAGCGGGTTAAAACACCATGCCATGCCAAGGGGGCTGTGGGCACTGCGGGTAACAAAGAACAAAGCCCTACTTCCTACCTGCCCTTTTTTTCTTGCCCTGTCCCTGAAACAAAAGAGGAGGAGGACAGTCTCGGGTCAGAAGGAAAACGGTTTTTGTGCAAACCAGCCTGTGGACCTGCTGTTTCCTGAGGCTGCCCAGTGAGATCATTTAGCAGGCTACAAAGGGGCTGGTGGCGTGTGGGCAGTAACAGCGTTTGCAGCTGTGAGCAGCAGTAAACAGCAGAGTAATCAGATCCCATCCTTCAGCAGGGAAGCTGATCACCGGAGTGGGTCCGGGATTTCCCCCTTGCATCGTTGCCGGGTACCTGCACAGGCCAGTTGGAACATCAAATGTTGGCTGGGACCAGGGGCACGACGGGGGCTTGATGGATCTAATCTCCAAACAGACAGAGCAGCTCTGCTCACACTCCTGCCCCGAGGCCTGATAGCTCCCTGGGTTCTCTCATCTCTTATCTCTGGCTGCATCTTTCTTCTTTTTAAATTATTTTTTTTTTTTATTTACTCTTGAGCTGGGCTTCAAGTGCATTGCTTGGGAGGAGTCATGACTGCTGGGTGACATCTCCCCATCGCCACGTGCGGTTCCCACAGCTCCCTTCACTGACTTTTGACCTGAGAGCATTAAAAGGCATAGCTGAGAAGAGGCAGACATGCCCCTGGGTCCTGACCGGACCCGAGACAAGAAACATCTTCATCTTATTTCCTCTTTTTACAGCTTTTCTGCCCCTTAACGGTGGGTCTGAGCTGCATCTCGCCGCGGTTTCTGCTGCAGGATGCAGCGTCTGTTTTGGCCTCTTCTTGAGCCTCTTTTCCTTTTCTTTGTGTCCCCCTCCTCCTGAAATCCAGGGGGGCAGCTGAAGCTTAGCCCCGGTAGGCATCTGGGTCCTTAGGAGGCAGCTGCCAGCCTGCCTGGTGGGAACAGGGAGAAAAAGGACCCTTTTTCTCCAAAGAAGAACCACCCTCACATTCCTGGGTGGTGGCTCATCCCTACAGGGCTGGAACCTTGGACCACGGATGTGCAGAGACAGAAAGGAAGGTGGATCTCTGCTCGTAGAAAAGAGGTCAGCCAAGTGCCTGGTTGTAGCCATAGGGAAAATGCCTTGGGGGTTGGAGTGAGGGTAAAACTCACAGTTTGGGCGGGCTCTGCACGAAACCCCTGTCATTGCCACGAATCCAGCTGCCCTTCTGCCCCTCCACAGTGTCTTCAAAAGCATCTCCTTGCTCGTCAGGTCCCTCTTGGTACGGAATCGTACAAATCTCTCCATCCATGATGTCTGAAGGCTGGTGGAGGGGCAGGTTTGACGTTGCGTCGTGTGGGGTGTAACCGTGGGTTGCTGGAAGCATGGATGTGGCTCTACCCTGGCTACTGGGGTCTACTGTGGTGCTTGTGTAGCCACCAGCCAGCTCAGCTGGGCAAGCTGGCCCAGCAGAAAGCCGGGTGCCTTTC